TAATGGATATTTTTCCACTACCAACTCTTGCTGAAATCCATACAGACACCCCCCCATACCACCCTATAAGTGATCATCCAGTTGATGAGATGGTCAGTGAAGATATACCTCGTGCCCCAGCACCAGTTGTTGCCACACAACCAATTGTAGCAGCACCAAAAAGGAATCCAACTCGCGATCGCAACCCTCATCGACGGCTACAAGAGTACATCACTTACAGTGCAAGGCATCCCATTTCTGAAGCCCTCACTTATCACAAACTGTCAGCATCTCATGCATCCTTCCTAAGTCAGTTGGCAAACAATGTTGAGCCTAAAAACTTTCAAGAAGCAGTATGTATGCCTGTGTGGAGAGATGCCATGCATGATGAGCTCAAAGCACTGAATGAAAATAAAACCTGGAGTGTAGTAGATCTTCCCAAAGGGAAGAAAGCCGTAGGGAGTAGATGGATTTACAAGACCAAATTCAACTCTAATGGTACCATTGAAAGACACAAGGCCCGGTTGGTTGCTCGGGGTTTCACTCAAACTTACGGCATTGACTACAAGGAGACCTTTGCTCCCGTTGCCAAAATGAACACCGTGAGGGTGTTGTTATCAGTAGCAGTCAACCACGACTGGCCCTTGTTTCAAATGGATGTTAAAAACGCATTTCTTCACGGTGAGCTTCAAGAAGAGGTGTACATGAAACTACCTCAAGGACACCCTCAAGAAAAAGAACCTACCAAAGTCTGCAAGCTTCATAAAGCGATATATGGACTTAAACAGTCTCCACAAGCTTGGTATGCCAAACTGAGCTCCGTTCTTGAAGTAGCAGGGTTCACAAGGAGTCATGCTGACTCCTCTCTCTTTGTTCGAAGTGGTGACCAAGGGAAGCTTGTAGTCCTTATATATGTTGACGACCTTATCATCACGGGAGACAACATGGATGAACTCGAGGCTCTTAAAAGGTCACTTCACCAACAGTTTGCCATTAAAGATTTGGGATCGGGAATTGAGATGGCAACCTCCTCCAAGGGTTTATTCTTAAATCAAAGGAAGTATGTTCTTGACCTTCTTGATGAAGCACATATGGTCAACTGCAAACCTGCCCGCACCCCACTTGCTAGCAAACTTCAACTGGATGCTCCAGGTAATCTTCTTTCAAATCCTAATGTGTATCAACGCATGGTTGGGAAACTCATTTACCTCACTATCACAAGGCCTGATATTGCTTACTCCGTAAGCCTTATCAGTCAGTTTATGCATTCTCCTACATTGGTTCATTGGGAAATTGTCAAGAGAATACTTCGATACCTCAAGGGCTCGATCGGCAGAGGCATACTCATGCAGAAAAATGAGTCTAATCACATTCTGGCCTATACCGATGCGGACTGGGCTGGTAATTCCCTTGATCGAAAATCCACCACCGGTTTTTGTACCTTTGTAGGTGGAAACCTTGTCACTTGGAAAAGTAAAAAACAAACAGTGGTTGCACGGTCCAGTGCTGAAGCTGAATATCGGGCCATGGCCGCAACAGCTTCTGAACTCATCTGGTTGAAGAGTCTCCTTCTTGATCTTGGCTTCACCAGCAAGGAACCCATGTCCTTATTCTGTGACAATCAGGCTGCCATGCATATTGCATCCAATCCTGTATTCCATGAACGGACTAAACACATTGAAGTCGACTGCCACTACATCCGCACTCAAGTTCAATCCAAAGTCATTGAAACTGTGTACACTAGAAGTCATGATCAACTTGCGGACCTTTTCACGAAAGCTCTTGATTTTACACAGTTTCAACGGTTATTGTTCAAGCTTGGATCAATCAACCCCCTTGATCCAGCTTGAGGGGGAGTATTGACAGCTAGGACAGTATGGGAGAGAAGGAATATTGCTCGTGAAAAGGAATGTTGTATATTCCTTGACAGATAGACTATCACATGGTTTGTGAAAAGAAATGTTGTATATTCCTTGACAGATAGACTATCACATGGCCTTGCTGTTTTTCTTTTTCTCTAGTTGCTGCATCATGACAGCAAGCACAACACCTGTATTGCTTTTCTTTATTGCAAGCGTGTATGTAAAATGTATATAAACAATGCTGCCATTGCAGCAGAATTAATAAGATGAAAACAACAAAGTTGAAACCAAAACTTCAACAGAGAGCGTGATAAAAAAGATCCTCCTCTCCTACACCTATGTCGTCATCTAGATCTTCCTTTCCTTCAGCGTCATCGTCTACAACAAATACATCCTCGACAAGAAGATGTACAACTGGCCCTTCCCTATCTCCCTCACCATGATCCACATGTCCTTCTGCGCCTCCCTCGCCTTCCTCCTTGTCCGCGTCTTCCCCCTCGTCGAGCTCGTCACCATGTCCCGCGACCTCTAGCTCTCATTCGTCGTCCCCATCGACGCCCTTTACTCCCTCTCCCTCTGCCTCTCCAACTCCGTCTTCCAGATGCTCAAGGCTGTCATACTCGTCGCTATTTACTCCATTGGCGTCTCCTTCAAAAAAGTCTTTCAAGACTAACACCATAGTCACCAGGATCTTCATCTCCATCAGCGTCGCCATCGCCGCCTATGGCGAGGCCTGATTCGACACATGGGGCATCATCCTCTAGCTCGGCGTCGTCGCATTCGAGGCCACCCGCCTTGTCTTGATCCAAATCCTCCTCACATCCAAAGGCATTACCCTTATCGCATCACTTCTCTCTACTGTGTCGCGCCTTGCTGCTTGGCTTTCCTTTTCGTCCTCTGGATCTTTGTCAAGTATCCGGTTCTGCGCAATTAGTTGAACTTCCATTTCAATTTCTTGATTTTTGGGACCAATTCTATCTACGCATTTGCTCTGAATCTCGCCGTGTTCTTGCTTGTCGGAAAGACCTCGGCGTGGGTGGGGAAGGGGTCAGGGAAGATAGGTGTTTGGGGTTTATTTATTTATTTATTTTTGGAAAAATTAGTATCCGTCCCTAGTTTTTACTGTTCATTGACTAAGACCTTATTAGTTCTTAAATTTTGATTTAAGTCCCTAGCATTAATGTGATAATGAATTTACTTGTTTATTATATAATTTTTTAATATAAAAATTAGTAATTAATTTAGGGTTTAATATTCACACCTCTATTAATCTTCTAATTAATTTTCAATTCAAACATTTCCAAAATAATAAAAAATTAAATTAAATTAAGTTTGTACCTATTAGTTTTTTTTTTTATATATAAAAAGATTCTCAATTTTTTAATCTTAAATGTACCCATTCATATAATTTTTCAATTTTTTAATCTTAAATGTACCCATTCTCAAATATATCAATTTGTTATATGTAAAATGTATCCTTTTTTTAATATAAAATCCATTCAAATTTTTTAATCCATGTTTAAACTTATATGTGTACATTCTTTTTCGTTGATTTGAGAATGTATCCATGTTTTGGTACAATAACTTTTTTTGTTAATTTTGGTTAATGTACCCATACATATATGTATATACACACACACACACACACAATATAATAGAGAGTATAATTTATATTTTATTATTTTTAATCCCATAAATTATGGGTTTTATTTAAAATCTCATTAATATAAACAATTACAAATTACAAATTTTAATTTTTAATTAAAAAAATATAGTAACTTACATTATTACATTAATGTCAGGGACCTCAATAAAAAACTAAAAACTAACAAGGTTTCAATCAAAGAATATTGATAGCTAGGGACTGCATCCAAAGTGTCCCTTTATTTTTTTATAAGGATAAATTAATATTTTTAATATTTTATTTATTTTTTAATAAAAAATAGGTTCCGAATCAAGCCACATGAGCATTTAATTGAGAAATTCACGGTCAAGCTAACAGAATGTATAACATTGGATCAAATTCTAAAGATGAGGTATGATAGTGTCATGAGACCAATAGTTGATGTAGTTTTGTATAATTTACCTAACATTAAACATGGCTTTACTTTGAAATTTCGGGGGCCTTGTGCGAAATTTATAAAAGGGCCCCTCTCTAAGATAGTTTTAGAAAAGTAGGACAATGTATTGATGCTAGAAAACAATCACTTAAATCAAAACAAACTATAGCACTCACTTATTGCAAGTTCACAAATGTCATTAATAATAAGTAAAAAAAGCTACAAATATACAAGGTTTTAAAAGACGCTAGGCGTTAGTCGGACGGTGGGATGGGGTCTAGCGCCTAGGCGGCTAGGTGGATTTAAGTAAATCTATTGTATTTTGTGTAAATAAGTGTCTGTTTATACTTAAAAAATATATAATTTCATCATAAACTAGAAATAGAATGACATATATATTATAAAGTATTTGAACATAATGAAAATATAGAGAGCAAACATATAATGTGTGTTTTTTTAAGTGTTCAATAAGTCTCTTATAATTTATTGGAAATAATAAAATGCAAAAGAAAAGTTATTTATTTTCTATTTAAGTCGCAACCTAAGCAGGTGTCTAGGCGGGTCTGGGCAGTCTAGGCAGGTGTCTCAGCAGGTCTAAACGTCATTTCTTAATTTTCAAATGCTTAGGCATTAATTGGGATGGTGACCAGCTGCCTAGCGCCTAGGCGGCTCTAAGCAGAGATTTTTGGAACAGTGCAAATATAACTTCACTAAATGATTGAAAGCATTTCAATCTTCAACAAACAAACATGAAGAAAAAACTTCAAAACTAATATACAACATTATTATATAATGAAGTTGAAAAATATCCTTTTAGGATGTTACTATTGATACCCAAAATATCTCATTGCACTCCACATTTTTATATTTAGATTTAAAAAAATAACTCTTTTAAGCACTGCACAATGAGATTTTAAAGTGCTAACAAAAATTATTTTTAAATATTGAACATAATACATAATATTAGATGGCAAAAATTTAGGGCCTCTTAAAATTTGGAGCCCTGTGCGACTGCATCTTTCGCTCCCCCTCAACGCCCCCTCCCCTTCCATTCCATGCCAAGAAACAAGCACAACAAAAACCAATCTCATATGATCCTCTAAGAGTCCTCCGTATGCTGCCAGTGCATCTCCGAGATCCCGTGTCCCCGTGAAAATGTTGCCTTCAAATGGCAGCATTTTTCCGGTACAGCATGTGGCTGTGCAAGGAACTTGATCACAGGGTTGGTATGTACAGCAGGAATATGAAGGTCAACTGAGAACTCACTGCTATTCGCTAACTTCTCGAATTTCTGCTCAATTGCATGATGCTTCCTGCTATTGTACAATTGGATTAGCGTCCCAATCTCTTTCTTTGGATTCCTGATGGATTTATTATCTTCAAGTTCACCTTGACTACTTCTTGTCTCTCCTAGTAACAAGCAAAGGGCCTTGAACCAGTCTTCAAGGAATGAAGCTTTCTGTATCCGCAGGAAGAAAAATAAGTCCGAGAAAGAAAACACATATTACGCCTTAATGTTTCAAATTATCAATGTTTGCAGTTTGCACAAACACAGACACCAGATAAAAACCCCAATTGGATGCAGGTAGTCAGCAAATTCTTTTAAAGAGTATGGACATCTATTCAGCAAACATGAAAACATGACCATTTTCTTTATCTCCAAGGTAAAAATTGTTATTACGGTTCACTTGGTCACTTCGTGAAAATGATCTAAGGTAACAAATATGTATGCCATGATAAAATCCCTTTCTACAATAAAACTTGTGCCTGAGTAACCACAAACACTATATAGACCAAGTCAATTCAAGCTACATGTAAGAATACTTACTTTTACAAGGAAATCTTTGACGGGTTCATGATCTGAACTTGAAGTGAGGATAAGAACATGCAACACGGTTGAGGTCAACTGAACCAAGCAGAAGAAAAAGCTATTAAACACATCATATACCTCAAACGCATGCACACTAAACCATAATGCACGGTTTCACCCAATATGAATACATAACTGCTCAGGTGCATTATGTACCTGGTTTTCAAGTGCAACCCTATATTTGAAATTTGACGGTGATGCAATCCGGTCTGAACCTTGATTCTCTAATATATGGACCAAACCCTGGATGATATTTGGGAAGGATTCTCCATAATCTACAACAAATCAATAGGCTTCTCTTTTAGTTTCCAGATTATATGAAGGAATGGTTAAAAAAAATCTCATACAAAACACAACGAGCAATATATTCTTCATTTGAGAATGCAATCAAAAGATGCAATCAACCAATTGAACTGATAGTAGTAAAAAATCGAACTTTGGTGAAGACTGATAGCTGATATAGCATTGTGGAGTTACCAAGGCAACCATGACACAGGAACAAGAGTAAATTTAACTACATACCAAGGATTGATGCTGGCACCAAAGCAGAAGCAGCTTGAATCCTGATCTTAAAGTTGGAAGAATCGTGCAATAGCAGTAGAAGAATACTACACATAGATGAAGCCCTGTCAGAAAACAATGCATAGTTAGCTTTTTTTTTTTTTGTAATGATTTATAGAGCTTACTTTCATACTTTAGAACCATGCAGAGAAAAACACTAGTAAGTTATTGGGCGGCATTTCAACCTCATACATAAATAAATTGATTTCAAACAGGAAAAAGAAACATTGTATCCATGCCAACACAAGATTCAAAACTATACCAATCCATGTCTTGCAATCTTAATGTTTCATTCAGAAATAGGTTGCTCAAAGCATGACAAACATTCCATTGGACCTGTTAGATGCACAGTAAATTTGGGTCGATAACAGAAGATAATGAGGATACAATCTCATCCATGCCATTCAAATTAGAAAAGAAAATTCCAGCAAGTTAGGACTGTAAGCATGATACCTTAACATTACCAGTTGTAACACAAGAAATCAATGCCTGAATGACTTGCTCAAGCCAACGTGAATCTCCCAAAGAAGCTGGATGGCATGACAGTGACACATCTCTTTGACTTCCTTCCCTGTAATTGCTTGATGGTATTTTGTAAGGTTTAGTGCTCTTTATTGTCGATCCATTATTGTCTACTGTCCTGTCACTACCGCTTCTATATTTGATAGATCTTGAAAGATTCCCCAGAGCCCTTACAGCATTTGATTTAACCTAATAGAAAGAAGAAAATATTCAGAGCTGTAAGATACACATATATTATTGATGACTAGAAATGAGCAGATAGTCAATGAATTAAAGCAAAAATAGTTTCGCATAAAACTAGAAGAACCATAATCATTTCCTATCTATGAATTCTTTACATCCAACTGATATTGATGACTTGGCTTATTAATATACTATTCAATCAACATATATAAAAGGAAATGACTTGGTTATTAACATACCTTGTCTCCATCCTTGGTCAGACACAAAGCACACTCGGTTAATAATATGAATAATTTAGAGATTTCGGGATAGCCTATATAGAAAGTGAAAAAAAAGAACAAAAGAAAGAAGATTAGTAGTTTGAAAAGACAATGATGCAGTAGAAATACAATTGATTTCGCTCTTCTAAATTAAGCTGACCTCCAGATTGTTTCAAGGAAAAATCATCAATACAATGACGGATAGAATCACAAATGTTCGCCACAGCCCAAGAAGCAGTTATTCACACCTGAAATAAGAATTATACAGACGGTTTTGACTGATTATGAAATAAAATGAAACCAACCTAAAACTAGATAAATAGAAAAATACCGAGACCAGGGGATCACGTGTGTTAATCTCCACAGCATGAACAAACTCATCAAGGATCTATGCACAATATAATTTGAGTTCTTAATGAATTTCTGTCCTAGATTCTTGAACAAAGCATAAAATTTATAGAGGATCAAGTCAATAACAGATAATAAGAACTCTGAGAAATCATTCAATTCCATTCAAAAACATGTCAGGATCACCTTTGAGAAACTTGAGGAAACATTGATATGACTCCAAGGGCTCGACAAGCAGCTGACCTAACTGAAGGCACATCATTTACGGCAGCACGAACCTAAAAATATTTTGTAGATATAACTGATAAGAAAAAAGCTTTCTAATTTCTATTCCATTTACATATACAAAGAGGTTAAGGTATAACACCAGTAATTAGTTACAAGAAAACATACACAAGAAGAAAGAATGAAGTCTTGTTTTTCCTTTGGGAATGAGAAGTATACAGAAGAGGTTATACCAGCAAAACATGTAACTGATGCTGCTCTCACCTTCAAGGAAAAATAAAAAGTTCAGAACAGTACATAAAAAACACAAAAAGATAAATCTCGGAAAAGTCAATTGTTTATATCATTATTAACTAACCACTGCAGAAGTATGGTGCAGAATCAGAGGCATGTGCTTCTCAATTGCCTCACACCACTGCTCCGTTCCAGATTGACATGATGTGGGTTCATCTATTGTATTTTCTGAGTTCTCTGGTTCATACAATGGCGCCGATGAAACTTTCTTCATCCTTACGCAGTCCGAAATAAATGGAGCATCAAGTAACTTATCATCTAAAGGGTCTTCAGTTCCTTTAAATCCTGATATTGCATGTAGACATTCGTCCAGAACCTGATAATTGACATCAACGATCATTATATATATATATATATATATATATAGGGAACTGTTATTAGCACTCCAAAAATCTCATTCTACACTCCTCACAAGTGTATTTTTCTAATTATAGAAAGTTTGGAGTGTGAAATGAGATTTTCGGAGTGCTAATAACAATTCCCTATATATATGTCCGTAAAGGGAAAAAATCAATTATATGAATATGGCCTAAAAATACCGCTCTGTAAGAAGGTCTCGCTCATTTCTAATGTAAAACAAACTCAAAGAAGAACAAAGTATTTATTTACTCTTTTGGAGAGGAAAAATAGCAGATATTAAAGGATACTTACTTTAATAGTAGCTGTAATGACCTTTTCCCCAATAAATCCGACAAAATTTCCAGTATTTCCCTTCCAAGATCCTGTAGGCACTTCATGAGTAGCTGCCCTCAAAACGCCATAAACAATGGTGGAAATTCGTTCCCAACAGCAGAACATTATGCTTGGGTAATTGTGGGACACAGCCTAAGCGCCTACAAGAAATAATATAAGCCTTAGATATAATCACCACATGCTTTTAAGAAAAGAAAAAAGCGCACAGAAAAGAAAGACACTAATAGTAAAACCACAAGCATTTTCATAACAGTTGATGGCATGCTACATGCTTGTCCAGAAAAGAATCAGCACTGCTGTAAAACCTGATTATCAGAAATCAATTACCTGAAGAGCCTCAAAGCATATCGTTGGGTTGCTAACTTGTTCTGAAAATCGGAATAGCATAAAGAGAACACCTGACTTCTTTGTAGCCTCAACAAAATCTGGAGAAACAACAACAACAACAACAACAAAGCCTTTTCCCACTAAGTGGGGTCGGCTATATGAATCCTAGAACGCCATTGCGCTCGGTTTTGTGTCATGTCCTCCGTTAGATCCAAGTACTCTAAGTCTTTTCTTAGAGTCTCTTCCAAAGTTGTCCTAGGTCTTCCTCTACCCCTTCGGCCCTGAACCTCTGTCCCGTAGTCACATCTTCGAACCGGAGCGTCAGTCGGCCTTCTTTGCACATGTTCAAAATCACCGGAGCCGATTTTCTCTCATCTTTCCTACCATTTCGGCTACTCCTACTTTACCTCGGATATCCTCATTCCCAATCTTATCCTTTCTCGTGTGCCCACACATCCCACGAAGCATCCTCATCTCCGCTACACCCATTTTGTGTACGTGTTGATGCTTCACCACCCAACATTCTGTGCCATACAACATCGCTAGGCCTTATTGCCGTCCTATAAAATTTTCCCTTGAGCTTCAGTGGCCTACGACGGTCACACAACACGCCGGATGCACTCTTTCCATCCAGCTCGTATATCTATGGTTGAGATCTCCATCTAATTCTCCGTTCTCTTGCAAGATAGATCCTAGGTAGCGAAAACGGTCGCTTTTTGTGATCTTCGCTAGATTGCTCCGGTCATTAGTGTGGATAAGTATATAAATGGATAGAGATAGGAAAGCAAACACAAGATGTACGTGGTTCACCCAGATTGGCTACGTCCACGGAATAGAAGAGTTCTCATTAATTGTGAAGGGTTTACACAAGTACATAGGTTCAAGCTCTCCTTTAGTGAGTACAAGTGAATGATTTAGTACAAATGACATTAGGAAATATTGTGGGAGAATGATCTCGTAATCACGAAACTTCTAAGTATCGGAGTGTGGTGTCGTCTTGACTTGCCTTATCTGTCTCATAGGTAGATGTGGCATCTTCTCTGGAAGTACTCTTCCTCCATCCAGGGGTGGTATCTTTAACTGGTGGAGATGCACAAGGTAATGTATCAATTTCACTTGAAGCTTACTTGTAGTTTCAGGCTTGGTCAAGCGCGATACAAACCATGTAGTAGGAGTCCCCCAAGTCGCCGAGCTAGGGGGTCTGCTGAAAGAGGTGACAGACAAGGTAAGCAATCAGAGCTCCGACTGATTGTTCACCTTCTCCCCATCTTGCAGCAGCATGAAGGATAAAGAGAAGAAAAATGAGAAGAGATGATATGAGATACTTTTGCTTTTGAAGAAGTAACTTTCCACAGGCTTATTCTTGAACTGAGCTGGAGGGTTTTCTGGTTTCCTCCAGAGTATAAGGCCGACTGAAGAATTTGAGGGTCAAAACAAGTCCATCAAATCTAGAGTACGTTCCACCCTGCTGATATGGGATACTTTTGCTTTTGACAGAGTAATGGATGTATCGGCACGTGTGCTGTTACGCTTGTCTCCACATGCTTCCTTGTATCCTTCGCACTTGCCCTATCTGTTCCTCAAGCAGATGCGGAATCTTCCCTGGAAACATAAGATGTTGAAGATGAGTACTCGAGAGCAATGCCAGGTAAGTAATCAGGTAAGGGGTTCCAGGCAGTCAGTTCCTGGCTGGAAGCTTGATTCCAAGTGCTGACTGATTGCTCTCTTTCTCCTTGTCTTGCAGGTAAAAAACAAGGCCAAAAGGAAAAGACAGGGAAAAAGCATGATATGGGATACTCTTGCTTTTAACCCTGATGATATGAGATATTCTTGCTCTAGTATAGCTTGTTTGCAGAGGTATTATCGGGGGGAAAGAAAGCTGAATATTTCGAAAGGCTTCGTTGGGAGTGCCCTCTCAGATATGATGAAGGGTTGAGCATTTTTGCAGGTCTGCCTGTCCGTTGGGGATGGAGGTCGACATATATAGGAGTCTCCCTAACAACAAGTAGTAATGCTATTCCTTTACCCTGCTTGGTCATAGCACGGTAGTGGGAGCTGCCAGTTTCACATGTTTTAACTCTGTCAGAGCACTTTGAAAAAGTGGTCTGTGGTATCTGGCTCTCGAGATTCGGAGAACGATGCCTCTTCGATTTTTGAGAAAGCAATCATGCTGGGGGTCTGACTCTCGAGATTCGGAGAGAGCAGTGTCTCTTCGATTTTTGAGGAAGTAATCATGTTGGGAGTCTGGCTCTCGAGATTCGGAGGGCGGTGCCTCTTCGATTTTGGAGCAAGCAATCTTGTTGGGAGTGTTGTCTCGAATGTGAGTAAAGGTTGGGCATGTTTGCTAGTCTACCTTGCCACGAAGCACAAAGGTTGACACACAGGGACTTTCCAATTATCCAGCAATGGTACTGTTCCTTTACCCTCTCTTCGATTTTGAGAAAGTAGTCATGTTGGGAGTCTGGCTCTCGAGATTCGGAGGACGGTGCCTCTTCGATTTTGGAGCAAGCAATCTTGTTGGGAGTGTTTTCTCGAATGTGAGTAAAGGTTGGGCATGTTTGCTAGTCTACCTTGCCACGAAGCACAGAGGTTGACACACAGGGACTTTCCAATTATCCAGCAGTGGTACTGTTCCTTTACCCTTGTGGGTAATAATATGGTGGTAGCTAGACCTTCAAAATTTATGTGTCTAAACTTTGTTAGTGCTGTTTCTTTGCTATTCTTTTACCTTTCTTGGTCAGAGCGATGTAGTGGGAGCTGCAAGCTGCAAGCTTCACGTGCTCAACTTTGGCAGAGAACTTTGGCAAAGTTATCTGTGGTACCCATGAGCTATTGTTGCGTGTGGGAAGTGGGTGATTGAACAGTAAGATTCATGTGCTTTCTACTTCACCAGAAGTCTTCGACAGAATGCCCATAATTTCTGCAAAGCTGAGTGTGCGTGTGACAGGTGCTGACAAGGCTAGAAAAGTAGGTGCCTCTTCGATTTCTGAGATCGGCCCTCGTGGTCTCTGAGCAGCCCAGCTTTTGAGAAAGCGAGCGCCTCTTCGATTGATTCGGAGAACGATGCCTCATCGATTTTTGAGAAAAGCAATCATGCTGGGGGTCTGGCTCTCGAGATTCGGGGAGCAGTGTCTCTTCGATTTTTGAGAAAGTAATCATGTTGGGAGTCTGGCTCTCGAGATTCGGAGGGCGGTGCCTCTTCGATTTTGGAGCAAGCAATCTTGTTGGGAGTGTTTTCTCGAATGTGAGTAAAGGTTGGGCATGTTTGCTAGTCTACCTTGCCACGAAGCACAGAGGTTGACACACAGGGACTTTCCAATTATCCAGCAATGGTACTGTTCCTTTACCCTCTCTTCGATTTTTAAGAAAGTAGTCATGTTGGGAGTCTGGCTCTCGAGATTCGGAGGACGGTGCCTCTTCGATTTTGGAGCAAGCAATCTTATTGGGAGTGTTTTCTCGAATGTGAGTAAAGGTTGGGCATGTTTGCTAGTCTACCTTGCCACGAAGCACAGAGGTTGACACACAGGGACTTTCCAATTATCCAGCAGTGGTACTGTTCCTTTACCCTTGTGGGTAATAATATGGTAGCTAGACCTTCAAAATTTATGGGTCTAAACTTTGTTAGTGCTGTTTTCTTTGCTATTCTTTTACCCTTCTTGGTCAGAGCGATGTAGTGGGAGCTGCAAGCTTCACGTGCTCAACTTTGGCAGAGAACTTTGGCAAAGTTATCTGTGGTACCCATGAGCTATTGTTGCGTGTGGGAAGTGGGTGATTGAACAGTAAGATTCATGTGTTTTCTACTTCCCCAGAAGTCTTCGACAGAATGCCCATAATTTCCGCAAAGCTGAGTGTGCGTGTGACAGGTGCTGACAAGGCTGGAAAAGGTGGAAAAGTAGGTGCCTCTTCGATTTCTGAGATCGGCCCTCGTGGTCTCTAGGGAGCCCAGCTTTTGAGAAAGCGAGCGCCTCTTCGATTTTTTGAGATCGGCCTTCGTGGTCTTTGAGCAGCCCAACTTTTGAGAAAGCAAACGCCTCTTCGATTTCTGAGATCAACCCTCGTGATCTCTAAGCAGCCCAGCTTTTGAGAAAGCAAACGCCTCTTCGATTTCTGAGCAGGCGCCTCTTCGATTTCTGAAGCTCCGTCGAGTGCAGATTTTTATAGGGGCTGGCATTAAGTTCCAAAGCACACTTGAATCTCCACCAGTAGAAGCTTCATTCTTGCACTTCTAAGATCTTGATTTGTCCGACCTCTTCTCTCTTCAACACCTTTGAAAATGTCTGGCCCCTCCGACCGTCGTTTTGACTTGAACCTTGTTGAAGAGGCAGCCCCGCCTTCTCCAGACAACATATGGCGCCCATCCTTCGTCTCCCCTACTGGTCCTCTTACCGTTGGGGATTCCGTGATGAAGAATGATATGACCGCTGCGGTGGTGGCCAGGAACCTTCTCACTCCCAAAGATAACAGACTACTTTCCAAACGGTCTGATGAGTTAGCTGTTAAGGATTCGCTGGCTCTCAGTGTTCAGTGTGCAGGTTCTGTGTCTAATATGGCCCAACGCCTATTTGCTCGAACCCGCCAAGTTGAATCATTGGCGGCTGAAGTGATGAGTCTCAAACAGGAGATTAGAGGGCTCAAGCATGAGAATAAACAGTTGCACCGGCTCGCACATGACTATGCTACAAACATGAAGAGGAAGCTTGACCAGATGAAGGAAACTGATGGTCAGGTTTTACTTGATCATCAGAGATTTGTGGGTTTGTTCCAAAGGCATTTATTGCCTTCGTCTTCTGGGGCTGTACCGCGTAATGAAGCTCCAAATGATCAACCTCTGATGCCTCCTCCTTCTAGGGTTCTGTCCAGTACTGAGGCTCCAAATGATCCCCCTCCGGTGCCTTCTCTTTCTGGGGCTCTACCGACTGCTGAGAGACTTCTCCTAAGCAACCTTTGTGAAGGCTCCCTCTTGTGTGTTTATTTTGACTCATGTATATGTACATATTTGTAGCTTATCGGGGATATCAATAAATAAGCTTTCCTTCATTTCAACGTATTGTGTTAAATACACCAAAGCCTTCTTCGCTAAGTTCTTTGAATTTTCTTTTGTTAAAGCTTGTATGTTGAAGCTTTCTGAGTGGAGCATGTAGGTTGGGGTAGTGTTCCCTTAATTTCCCGAGTGAGGAAAACTTCTCGGTTGGAGACTTGGAAAATCCAAGTCACTGAGTGGGATCGGCTATATGAATCTTAGAACGCCATTGTGCTCGATCCTGTGTCATGTCCTTCGTTAGATCCAAGTACTCTAAGTCTTTTCTTAGAGTCTCTTCCAAAGTTTTCCTAGGTCTTCCTCTACCCCTTCGGCCCTGAACCTCTGTCCCATAGTCGCATCTTCTAATCGGAACGTCAGTAGGCCTTCTTTGCACATGTCCAAACCACCGTAACCGATTTTCTCTCATCTTTCCTTCAATTTCGGCTACTCCTACTTTACCCCGGATATCCTCATTCCTTAATCTTATCCTTTCTCGTGTGCCCACACATCCAACGAAGCATCCTCATCTCCGCTACACCCATTTTGTGTACGTGTTGATGTTTCACCGCCCAACATTCTGTGCCATACAGCATCGCCGGCCTTATTGCCGTCCTATAAAATTTTCCCTTGAGCTTCAGTGGCATACGGCGGTCACACAACACGCCGGATGCACTCTTCCACTTCATCCATCCAGCTTGTATTCTATGGTTGAGATCTCCATCTAATTCTCCGTTCTTTTGCAAGATAGATCCTAGGTAACGAAAACGGTCGCTCTTTGGTATTTCTTGATCTCCGATCCTCACCCCTAACTCGTTTTGGCCTCCATTTGCACTGAACTTGCACTCCATATATTCTGTCTTTGATCGGCTTAGGCGAAGACCTTTAGATTCCAACACTTCTCTCCAAAGGTTAAGCTTTGCATTTACCCCTTCCTGAGTTTCATCTATCAACACTATATCGTCTGCGAAAAGCATACACCAAGGAATATCATCTTGAATATGTCGTGTTAACTCATCCATTACCAACGCAAAAAGGTAAGGACTTAAGGATGAGCCTTGATGTAATCCTACAGTTATGGGAAAGCTTTCGGTTTGTCCTTCATGAGTTCTTACGGCAGTCTTTGCTCCTTCATACATATCCTTTATAGCTTGGATATATGCTACTCGTACTCCTTTCTTCTCTAAAATCCTCCAAAGAATGTCTCTTGGGACCCTATCATACGCTTTTTCCAAATCTATAAAGACCATGTGTAAATCCTTTTTTCCCATCTCTATATCTTTCCATCAATCTTCGTAAGAGATAGATTGCCTCCATGGTTGAGCGCCCTGGCATGAACCCGAATTGGTTGTCCGAAACCCGTGTCTCTTGCCTCAATCTATGCTCAATGACTCTCTCCCAGAGCTTCATTGTATGACTCATTAGCTTAATACCCCTATAGTTCATGCAATTTTGTACGTCGCCCTTATTCTTGTAGATAGGCACCAAAGTGCTCATTCGCCACTCATTTGGCATCTTCTTCGTTTTCAAAATCCTATTGAAAAGGTCAGTGAGCCATGTTATACCTGTCTCTCCCAAAAGTTTCCACACTTCGATTGGTATATCGTCTGGGCCTATTGCTTTTTTATGCTTCATCTTCTTCAAAGCTACAACCACTTCTTCCTTCCGGATTCGACGATAAAAGGAGTAGTTTCTACACTCTTCTGAGTTACTCAACTCCCCTAAAGAATCACTCATTTCATGTCCTTCATTGAAAAGATTATGAAAATAACCTCTCCATCTGTCTTTAACCGCGTTCTCTGTAGCAAGAACCTTTCCATCCTCATCCTTGATGCACCTCACTTGGTTTAGGTCCCTTGTCTTCTTTTCCCTTGCTCTAGATAGTTTATAGATATCCAACTCTCCTTCTTTGGTATCTAGTCGTTTATACATATCGTCGTAAGCCGCTAACTTAGCTTCTCTGACAGCTTTCTTCGCCTCTTGCTTCGCTTTTCTATACCTTTCACCATTTTCATCAGTCCTCTCCTTGTATAAGGCTTTACAACATTCCTTCTTAGCCTTCACCTTTGTTTGTACCTCCTCATTCCACCACCAAGATTCCTTTTGGTGTGGGGCAAAGCCCTTGGACTCTCCTAATACCTCTTTTGCTACTTTTCGGATACAACTAGCCATGGAATCCCACATTTGGCTAGCTTCCCCCTCTCTATCCCACACACATTGGGTGATTACCTTCTCTTTGAAAATTGCTTGTTTTTCTTCTTTTAGATTCCACCATCTAGTCCTTGGGCACTTCCAAGTCTTGTTCTTTTGTCTTACTCTTTTGATATGTACATCCATCACCAACAAGCGATGTTGATTAGCCACGCTCTCTCCTGGTTTAACTTTGCAATCCTTACAAGTTATACGATCCCCTTTCCTCATTAGAAGAAAATCTATTTGTGTTTTTGACGACCCACTCTTGTAGGTGATCACATGTTCTTCTCTCTTTTTAAAGAAGGTGTTGGCTAAGAAGAGATCATATGCCATTGCAAAATCCAAGATAGCTTCCCCATCCTCGTTTCTCTCCCCAAAACCATGGCCACCATGAAAACCTCCATAGTTGCCTGGCGATGCTGTATGGCACAGAATGTTGTATGGCCGATTTTCTGTGCCCTAAACCCTAAACCTAAACCCTAAACCTAAACCCTAAACCCTAAACCCTAAACCCTAAACAAAATCTGGAGAAAGGAACAAAAAAAATTAGAAAAAGTTTGACGAATTTCAATAGGATGGTGTGTAGCTTAAGAATTAGCAAACATGATCACCAGTAAAGTTTATCAGTTTATGCTACCAAAATTAAGCCTACCATTCGATATCTCTACCAGAACCATTTCTTTAACTTGCAGTGAAGAAGGTGAGATATTCAGAGCAGTTGTCAAGCAACTAATAGAAGAAGCCTATTCAACAAGATAAAATAGTATAAGATAAAACAGTGAAGAAAAGCAGGCAATGCAGATATTACTCTTTACCTGAAAATTAAAAGGAGAAAAGGACAACTAACCAGCAGACCAGTGTGACCACTTTTGAATGTAAACCCATTTTTCATCCTTTCTTGTAGAGATGTAAAAACTGTTGGCATCAACTCTCCAGGCATTCTTGAATATTTGTAAAATGATCATTGATAGGAAATATAATTATACAAGATTTTCCTCAAAAATGAGTAGGGAGTAACATCATGCATCGTTCTGTTGTGTATACAAAGTGTTTAAAAATAAATTAAAAAAATGCTATTAAAAAATATCAGTAAAAAAACACGCCACTTTTCCTATCCTCATTGCAATAAATAAAAGAATATTCTTTGGAATAATCAAGGTTTTACGTATCTCCTACACAAAAGTAAGGGAAGTTGGTAAGGGAAAGATTCAAACTCAAAAAAGGCCAATAAAGGCAAATTAAAATGCTACTAAAGCTGTGAGCCAAATTGCCCAATTTTAGAATTGAATTATGAAAAGTACACACTGAATAGTTCTAACTTGAGGTTTTGGAATCTGAATACATCTTAAGTGAAACATACTGATGTAGAACTGCGGTAGTATTAGGGTGAACAAGGGTGTGACGGGACCGAGAAGAAGTAAAAGATCGAGGAGACGAATTAGGGGTCGAGGAGACGAAGGGAAAGGGGAAGAAATCAGGGAGTTCTAGTAAGGAGATTTTTCATTCATCAAAATTAAATTAAAAGATTACAATCTGCTCTATTTATAGAGACAAACTTTGAAAAATTAGGAAAGCAATTTAACTAATAAGAAATCCTTTAACAACGGGGAATTCTTAACTAAAATAGGAAAACTAATAAAAGGAAAGCTAATCCAAGTAGAATTAGGAGATGCATTCTGCATCATTCTCCCCTACTGAAAAGAACTCGACACAGGCGAGTAAGCCAATATTAAGGACAACGACGACGTTTGTAAGTATGGATGATAGGAGGACGGGATGCTGCCAAATCAAGATCCTGAAGAGCATCCTGATAATGGTGCAAAAGACTGGAATCCAACTCGCGAAATTCAGCTTCTGTAATCCAAGTATCCTCAGTAGCAGGCTTTCCCACCCAACGAACCAGATAACGGGTTGATCCTCCAGTAGACGAAGTCACAACTTCATGATCCAAAACGTCAGCAATCTGCTCTGTAGGGGCAGAAATAGTGGACGGAAGTCGTGGTGCCATAGGAGGAATGGAACTCTGAGCAACATCCATCGACAGAGGTGGAGAAAAGGTTCCCCGATAAGGAGATAAGTCAGAGACATTAAAAATGGGACTGATCTGCATCGTGGCAGGTAACTCAATCAAGTAAGCATTGGACCCAAGCTTCCTAAGGACACGATAAGGACCCATCGAACGAGCATGAAGCTTTTTAAAAGATTGCTTAGGAAAACGCTCAGGACAGATCCGCACCATAACAAAATCCCCGTGGTGAAACTCCTGGTGACGACGATGAGCATTGGCGGCCAGTTGATAACTGTCGGTGTGCATGGCTATTTGCCGACGGACGTCATCATGCAGTTGTCTAATATGTTCAGCAAACGACGTAGCAGAGTTGGAGGCGCGGGCAGCCATAGGAAGAGCAACTAGATCCACAGGTGATCGGGGAGAAAACCCATGAACAACCTCAAAAGGACTTTTACCGGTGCTTCGATTAACTGAGTTGTTATAAGCAAACTCAGCCACAGGCAACAAGAGATCCCAATTACCAGGCTTATCCCCAACTAAACAGCGAAGTAAATTTCCAAGACTGCGATTAACCACCTCCGTTTGTCCATCCGTTTGGGGATGGAAAGCGGAGGAAAACTTCAAAGTAGTCCCGAAAAGCTTCCACAAGGTTTTCCAAAAATAACTAACAAATTTGACATCACGATCAGAAACAATAGAGACAGGGAGGCCATGCAAACGAACTACTTCCTTAAAAAATAATTTGGCCACATGAGAAGCATCGGTATTTTTGGCACAAGGTAGAAAATGCGCCATTTTAGAAAAGCGATCAACTACGACAAAGATAGAGTCATGGCCGCGACTAGTCTTAGGTAAACCAAGCACAAAATCCATACTAATATCCTTCCAAGGAGCATGAGGGATTGGTAGAGGGGTATACAGACCTGTGTTACGTTTGCGAGCTTTAGCTAGCTGGCATGTGCGGCATTGGGAGAGGAGCCGAGCAACATCACGTTTTAACGACGGCCAATAGAAACGATCTTCCATCAAGGCAATGGTTTTATCTTTACCAAAATGTCCAGCCAAACCACCACCATGTAGTTCCCAAATAAGGAATTCACGAAGAGAAGTACGAGGAATGCATAATTGGGTTTTCCGAAACAAGAACCCATCCCTTGTAATAAAGTCCACATACTCACGACGGTTACCGTTGGAAACTTCATGGAAAATAATTCCAAAATCTGGACACGACGAATACTCGGCCTTAATACGATCAAACCCAGTGACCTCAACTGTCATTGTGTGCAAAATAGTAGCCACGCGACTAAGGGCATCAGCTGCCTTATTGTCAATGCCTGGACGGTGTCGTAAAACAAACGTAAAGATCTGTAGATATTCGGACCACTTGACATGTCGACTGCTGATGGTGCGTTGAGAGTGGAGATATTTCAAAGCTTGATGATCGGAATATAGCACAAATTCGTTTGGCAATAGGTAATATTGCCAATACCGAAGGGCCTGTACCACAGCATAAAACTCCTTGTCATAAGTAGAATAACGTTGCTTTGCTGCATTAAGTTTCTCACTAAAGTAGGCTACTGGATGTCCTTCTTGGCTAAGCACGCCACCAATTCCGACTCCGGAAGCGTCGCATGCCACTTCAAAGACTTTAGTCAAATCAGGATGTCGAAGAACAGGTGCTTGACTCATCTTTTGCTTCAAAATTGTAAAGGCCGTGGCAGCTGCAGGGGTCCAAAGAAACGCTCCTTGTTTCATGCAATCAGTTATTGGTGCCATAATAGTACTGAACCCGGGAATAAATCGGCGATAAAAAGAGGCGAGACCATGAAAGCTGCGTGCCTCTGTTAATGTCGTAGGTGTTGGCCAACGAGTAATAGCCTCCACTTTAGTGGGATCGGTGCTAACCCCAGCTGCAGAAATATTGAACCCCAAAAATAGAACTTGCGGTTGAAGAAACGAACATTTGGGTAAGTTAGCATATAGTTTTTCCGCTTGTAATGTAAAGAAGAGCGAGTGAAGATGTTTGAGATGTTCTTCTCGAGAGTGGCTGTATACAAGGATGTCATCAAAATAAACCACCAGAAATTTGCCAATATAGGGCCGTAACACATGAGTCATCACCCTCATAAACGTGCTAGGTGCATTGGACATGCCAAAGGGCATAACAAGCCACTCATATAAACCATCAGGGGTTTTAAACGCGGTTTTCCACTCATCTCCTTCACGAATTCGGATTTGATGGTAACCACTGCGAAGATCTATCTTAGAAAACCATTGGGAACCAGCCAAATCATCCAACATATCCTCAAGTCGCGGTATTGGGAAACGATACTTAACTGTAATTTTATTTTATGGCGCGCGACTATCCACACACATTCGCCAGGAGCCATCTTTTTTTTTGGTGTAAGGAGAACTGGAACAGCACAAGGACTTAAACTATGACGAATAAAACCCTTAGCCAGCAACCCCTGGATTTGTCGATTTAATTCCGCTCGCTCAGGTGGGTTCATACGATAATGGGGAAGGTTAGGAAGTTGTGAACCAGGAACAAGGTCGATGGCATGCTGAATCTCTCGTGCTGGAGGTAGTTCATCTGGTAAGTCCTCAGGTATATAACATCAGAGAATTCCGTGAGTAGTAGCTGCCGTATGGGTTCGGCAAATGGAGTGGGGGTACATTTGGAGACCGGTTTAAGCAAGAGAGCAAAGACCACACCCGTGTCTTGTAGTTCATGTGTAAAATCTACAGGTGATAAGATACTTAAACGATGCTCCGAAGCCTTCCCGTTTAAGGGCAGTGTCGGTTGAACCTCCTTAATTGGTTTGATGGCTGGGTTGGAAGGCTTGAGTGTTATGTTTTTCCCTTCATGTTGGAAAGTATAGGTGTTCTCTCGGCCGCAACTTTTGACGTTACGGTCATAAAGCCAAGGCCGGCCTAGTAGCACATGTGCAACACTCATAGGTAGGATATCACAATAAAGTTTCTCGTGACAGGGACCCAATTGAAGAGGAACAAGACATCTTTCAGTAACAGGTAACCTAGTTTTATCTACCCAGCCGACTTGAAAAGGATGGGGATGTGGTTCGGCCTGAAGGTGAAGACGATCGACGGCAGCTTTAGAAATAACATTCAGCGTACTTCCCCCATCAATAACTAGCTGGCATCGAGTGGTACCGCAAGGGACATAAGTCTGGAAGATACTTGTGCGTTTCCATGAATCAGGAGGTGGAGGTGTAGATGCTGAATAAATACAACGCATAACACTCAGTTGTTGCAATGCTTCTTCCTCACAACAATTATCAAGGTCGGGATCATAAATAGGTTCAAGGGGCTCCACATACTCGTCCACACGAGGGTCCTCAGTGTTGGAGCTAATATTTAAAGTTCTGTGGGGGCAACGGGAGGCGATGTGGCCCTTAGCATGGCAACGATAGCATTCGAGGTGAGTAGCCGTGGATAGGGCTGGTCCCTTCTCTGTGGCAGGTACCGTGGGAGCAGGTGGACCAGTGATGCCATATTTGGAGCTTGGATTACTGCGGTTTGGAGCAGAAGTGGAAGGATACCCGGGAGTCCCGGTGTACCTACGTTGTGGCCGCAAAAAGGTTTCAGCTTCCAATGCATGGCAATATGCATCTTCCAAAGTATACGGACGGAACCGACGGACTTCACGCTTGATATCGTCCCGAAGACCATGAATAAAACGAGACATGGTGATGTCGGGTTCTTCACGAAGCCCCGCACGTATTTTGTGTTCAATAAAACGAGCGTGGAATTCTGTAACGGTAAAACTTCCTTGTGAAAGGGTCCATAACTGATCATACAATTGATGGCGATAAAATGTAGGAAGATATTGTTTGCGAAGCTTGAATTTCATCTCGTCCCAAAGAGTCACAGGCTGTTGTCCCAGTTGGTATAGTTGCTCCTCCACGGAATTCCAATATTGTCTAGCGGCTCCCTGTAATGTCATCTTACCAATGCGTAGTTTATAAGCATCCGTCAAATCATACCAAGCAAAATAATCTTCCAGGGCTTGGATCCAATCAAGAAACATCGTAGGATCCCCACGACCATCAAAAGTAGGAGCGATAGGTTTGATGTGGCGGATGATCTCGTTGTCAAACTGGCGAGGTGGAGGAGGGTACTGATCATGTGGAGCGGGTGGGAGGTTTAGAGCCTGAGGAGTCACTGGAGGAGGACCTATTGTGTGTTGAGTATAATGGAGTGGCGGCATAGACCCAATGGAGCTAAGCGGCATTCCGTAGGACACTGCCTTTAATTTAGGATCCACCGGTGGAGTGGGCAAAAGGCCACTTGTTGGTGGTGGCGTAGACGAGCTTGGGATCACTGTGGAGGAAGACGAAGTTGCAGCGTGTTCAACCCGAAAGTGGTTGATAAGTAACTGAACGGAGTTTTGAAGTTTAGTGATGGCAAGGTCCGTCGTTGAACGATGGGCGTGAGCCTGTACCAACTCTTCTTTGAGGTCAGTGCTGAGTTTAGAGAGTTGGGTTTCTATGCCCGCGATATCGTCCGTGACTTTGTTTTGGAACGTATGACATTGTTCTGCAAGGTTGGCCACGGTTTGGGGTGCCATGGCAGGGATCAAACGCCAATGAAAGGGATTGTAGGCTCTGATACCAAATTGATGTAGAACTGCGGTAGTATTAGGGTGAACAAGGGTGTGACGGGACCGAGAAGAAGTAAAAGATCGAGGAGACGAATTAGGGGTCGAGGAGACGAAGGGAAAGGGGAAGAAATCAGGGAGTTCTAGTAAGGAGATTTTTCATTCATCAAAATTAAATTAAAAGATTACAATCTGCTCTATTTATAGAGACAAACTTTGAAAAATTAGGAAAGCAATTTAACTAATAAGAAATCCTTTAACAACGGGGAATTCTTAACTAAAATAGGAAAACTAATAAAAGGAAAGCTAATCCAAGTAGAATTAGGAGATGCATTCTGCATCACATACAAAGAAAAATTGGTTTAAACACTAAATCACATTTAAACGAAACCAAACAAAAGAAGCAAATCATTAACAATTTCAAAAGTTTGGGGGAGAACACATACGGTGTAGATGATCTCAAAAGCATGAGAATCTTGAGCAGGGATGCCATCAATCTACTATGAGTTTCACATTGAATTAAGTATAAAATACCTACACCATATACATCATAAATATTGTAACGTAAGTTACTTGAAAAGTAATAAATAATTGCAGCAAAAGTTTGAATTTGTGCAGCGTAGTGGCTTTCAAATACCTGTATGAAGCTGCATTAGTATATGTCCAAGGGAACTTGAAAGCGCTTTGAAAGATCCACGTTTAGAAGATTCCTTGAACTCTGCTACCTGGAGAAACACAGAAGATGGGCCATCCAACATTGCTTCCAGGGTTGATGCAGAAGCAACCCGTGCCTAGCCACCATAGAGGAGCACACGTCAGCTAGAAGCACCACTGAACATAAATTATTATATAACCATGAGAGTATGTTTCAAAGTTGTGAAAATGAGAAAACGAATTCCCATGAATCATAGCACAAGTGCAAAGATATTTTACAAAAACAACAGGGTCCAGGTGTCAAGTAATTCACCATAAGCAAGTGTGGTGACTAAATCTAATAACAACAGTTAATGACACCTTTAGATAAGGATCAAATAGCAAGCATGTCATTAGTGTTGCTTCATATTTCCTGTAATTCAGAACATAACAGGAAGAAGTGAGTTCGGTGATAGAGGATCAAGTTTATGAAATTAACTATTCGGAAGTAGGAGAAAGCGGGATGCTTTACCTTGGTCGCAGTACATCACTGGTTGGCAAAAGCAGCGTCCATTGGCTAGTAAATGATTTGGAATCAGCTTGACAAAGATCCTTCACCAAATTAACAAAGAAAAGAAGGTAAGTGTGCAAACAGTAAAAGAATTCATTGTCATATTGTCCACTGCTTCAATCGAATCACTAAGATTAATGTGGAGAGATGAAAGGTTCAAGGAAATTATTGGGTCCAAATGAACCTTTTTCTACAACAATTCTTCATTCCTTTGACGTTTCCGAGTCTTACATAATATGCATTGGTCATTGCTTAACCTTACATAGCAACATTAATCACTTAATACCGAGCTTTTTCTTCTAGTTAGATTACAGCCCAAGATACAATCGGATACCGTGATGTCAAATAATATCTTCCCCCTTTAAGAAAGATAAGAGATCAAAGATCTTTAGGAGGTGAGATCCTAGGACAGGGCACATCCTATTCTGTAGCCCATTATTGACATTGAGACAAAAAGGAGAGAATACTAAAAGACAACAAACAACAATGGCAGCTACTCCAACTTTAATAACTTTGACATTAGGAAAAGGATACGAACCAAAAAATTGCAAAACTTACCTGTATACAAACAATGGCAGCTACTCGGACTTTTGATTTCTGAATGTTGTCAGTGTCTTTAATTGATCCATCACTGTCACCGTAATCTGAATCTGACAATGCAAACTCATTCGCGGAAGATTCATGATCTGATAAACTTTGAGAACCCCGAGCTTCACTCTGCTTCATATTTGAATTGTCCCCTTGGCGCAGGTGTGGAGGCCTATATGGAGTACAATTGGTCTTTTTAGAATCTTCCAAACCCAGCTTAAGGCTTGCTAAACTAGGTTCCTTTTCTTTTTGACCAATTACTGAACAGGTATGCTGGGGTTTGGATTCAAGTCACGTACCATTGGCAATAATATATAAAGGTGACAAATTCATTTATAATATGCCGAAGCAAGCATAGTAGAGATTGTTGGAATACCTGGACATAAAAGCGTCTTCCATAAGCTGGCTTTTAGCTACCAAGCCATCCATCACTAGTTCATAGCAAAACCTTATCAGCATCACATATATATACACACACACAGAGAACTACAAGCTAAAAATATAGTATCGCGACCTCAATCGTTGATCTCCAGATGTCCAATGGAAAGTATGAGCCAACTCGGGAGATTGCCTCTCCAACCATAGTAAACGCAAGTGTCTGAATTTCCCATAAGCTTCCATATCGAGGGACCGGCATTCTCTTCCCAACTTCAAGAACCGAGCTTTGGTTGAGAATCGAGTTTGAAAAGCAGCTCAACTCTGCGTGAGAGCTCTCAATGATTCGCAGCAGGAACTTCACCAGCAGAACCTCCTCCGCCATCGAGCGTTTCCTCTGATACGTGCTCATAACACGCCTAAAGATAACGAGTTTTACAAATTACAATCGAATTCACAAGCAGAACGCGTTTTCCAAAAATCGAACCGAAAACCAGATGAGCTTGAGCTTACCTTAGAGTCTGTAGAGCTTCCATAACCTGCGTGAACGACGAAGAGCCGATGAAATAGCGAAGCATTTTGTTGACGAAGTCGAGGAGGAGAGTCCACGAAGCTGAATTGATTACGAGAGGAATGCGATGGGAGATGTCATGGATCTGAATCAAACGACTAAAATTTTCAAAATTTTCAAAGAAAACGAAGAAGCAGAGGAGCAAAGGCAAATTCTCAGTCGTATACATACCAAGTGAGTTATGTGAGTGAAGGTCGGAGTAAGGTCTTCTCCGCTGTGAGGCTTCGCGGTGACGAGCTCCATGACGAAGAGCAAATGGGAGGTGACTTCCTGAGGAGGGAGGTCGGGGGCGGCGGAGAGGAGAGTATGGGAATGGGAGAAGATGGAATGATGGAGGAGTTCGGGGATTGGAGTGCGTAAAGGAGTTGTTAGGGTTTTGTCCCTCACTGTTAGAAACGCCGTCCTCCACCACCGTACTGGCGATGACGACGGTGATGATGCCGCTGCCGCCATTTCGAGGGTGGCTTCTCAGTCCCTCCAATTCCAACCCACGTCAGTTGTTGTATCGGGCATTGTCCAAACTGATTCGGTTGAACAAGGGAGACCGGTCCATTGGGCTTTAAAATTGGGTCACAGGCCCATTCGAGTTCGGACACTTTGACCATGCCAATCGTTTGGTACTCTTCACAAAAGCAAGGGGATCTCTTGTATTTGGTCCTGCCGAAACTCATATTTTTCCTCGTTACCTTGAGTCTATTGTCATATATAACAGCATCGTACACAAGAATTTCTATCCCAAGTCCTTAATTTTTCACCTAAGAGTTCCCTATTTCACAACACGAAAACCATTTTCCTATCCTAATATTATCTTATCGGACTCAATATATATTGTTACGAGAATTATCTCGATTAATGACTTATAATTTCTTGGTCTAACAATATAACATGATAGAGTATTTAACGATAAAGTAATTCGCATCGCAATCTTAGGTCATAACCATCTAACTACCCTGGTGGCCACGGCATTGTAACTAAAGATCTATGATTGCATTTGCACGGTTGATGACTCCCTTTCGTATCAAAATCTGAGCACCGTGTTCATCTTGGTTCAAAAGCCAAATCCCAACACATGCATAAATACAGAAAAAAGGCACAAAAATATATGCAAATGGAAGGCAGCTGAGTCATACTTTGGCCACCCAAATAATTACGAGGAATTCTTGGGTAGGATTTGCCTGCCTCAAACTGGTGGGATAATCATTGAAATACGTACATAATCAGGGGCAGATCAACTTAGGAGCAGGGGGGTCAGCTAACCCTCTGAATTCTGGTGAATCTCCATGGATGATTTGGGTGCTGCCTCTTTGAAGGTTGGAGTTGCTCTTTATATATGTCATCCAATTGCTTGATAAAATGCCTTAGAGATGTGCTACTCTTTTACAGTCTAGTCCTAATATTATTTACCTTTGACTTGTTTGTTGGTTGTAATTATAATTGTAGAAATAAAAAACAAGTAAAAGACTATCCAAAAATGCAAAGTAAATGAAATGGTAATCTTAGAGAATGAACAAAACATCATCATTCTTGGACAAACATATTAATGGGATACAATGATATCAATCAATTTGTTAGTGTATTCCTTTGTCAAGCATTCATATAGCAGTAACCTTGGAACATGTTAGTTACCCAAGCAAATCTGGTATTAATATGTGTGCAGTATGCATTTTCAAATGACTTCAAGCTTATCAATACTAGATGAAATGACGATATTTATGTTAAAAAAAAATTGCGATCTATGTGCGCTATTTTACTGACCTCCTAATAATATTTCATGGATCTGCCATTGTATATAATATACATATATTTTACGTACATGTATATATACACACACACACACACACACTACATAATATTTTCATTTTTTGTACACTTTATTTCAAAATGTACTGTACACGTGTTATACGCTTATGTAGATACTTTTCAAGTTTTTGAGGCTACTTAAAAAATATGTACATGAGTGTATAATATGCTATTATCTTCAAGTTGAATGCATGCATTTTCGCATGTTGATTAATATTACATATAAAATTCATTTATTATACAAATATTACAGCGTGTCAATTTTTTTTTAACAATATAGCATGTCATTTAAGCACGAAGAAAATAATTTTTTTTGTAAAAAGAACTTTTAACATTTTAAATAATTGTCGAACTCCGTATTTATTTAAGCAAACTGTATAATAATATAGGAACATATTTTTACGTGCTATACACGCATCCTCTTGTACTAACTATGAACCATCATTTTCGGCAATTAAGATAGAGTATTTCGTGCAATTGCCACACTACAGTAACGGACACAGTGTGAGGATCATAGGTCAGCAGCGGCGTAAACAAATTATATGAAGTGGGTGGTCTTTTAATGTGTGCGGGCAAACGGAGCACGTGACCTAGACACTCGCCAGCCAGATAGGCTGAGTCACACATGAGCACTATCTGCATGTCTATTTCCTGCCATCACATAAAAAACGAAAAACTGATGCCCTAGCATAGCATGTACAGACATGGGCTAAAGCTGAAAGTGAAAGCAGCCTCAACCAAACACATTGAATGTTATCCCAATCTCCTTATTACTTATGTTCTGAAGTTACCTTCGAAGCACGCAACCGCACTAAAATAATTCTCAGTTGGCTTTGTTTTCTTTTGTTTTGTGTGTTTTATTAGTTGGTTTTGCAGGTTGGTGATGAAGAAAGTTCGAAGTGTGTGTGTGGCCTACTTGGAAAGCCCACAGCCACAGGATGTGAACTGTATTACCCGACTGTGTGGGTCCAAATAAGCGCCGTCCTTCCAAGCCCATACATAAACTCATTTACTCTTTGTGGCCTAGTGTACCCTTGAGCTTCTTCCAAAATTGGTTACAATTTGGGGTACGTTGGTTAACAATGACAACGTATGTCTAATGCATCCTGGTGTTGGCTTGCTAACAAATGATGAGGTATGTTACAGTTAGTCGTTTGCGTGCATGTGATTGATATTAGAGAGCTAATGCAAGAGGATTCTACAATGCATGAAAACGTTACATTTCTCCTGCACTTGGCAAGGCAACTCATCCACTTGGCAAGGCAACTCATGCATTACTTGTCCATCATGACTAGAAAAAATTATCATTTATATCAACAGTTAGAAATTATCTATGCACGTAGCAAACGCTAATAAAATTTGCCTCAGGCTTAGGCTGTCGTGACTAGTCTACATCAATGTTATAAAGCTATTATTTTGGTGCTACATCAAAGCATTTTATGGATGTATTGTAACAGAATAATTCTAGTTAGACCAACTTTTTAGACAATATTTACAAATCATGCGATGTGTCACCTCACCAATAAGAAAAACGTAAATTAATCAAAACTTAACTAGTAATTCAATAATCTATAACCACGTCATATGATTTACAAAATATGCTTTAAAAATAAAGAAAACTAATGAAAAGGACTTGAAAACTTTGAGTTTTAATGATAAGGACAAAATAAAGGGTAAAGTGAATAGTATCAGGATTGACTTTTTAGTGTAAAAATGTGGTTTTTCGTTAAAGTGAACAGTACGAGGAGCTTTTCGTTAAATAAATATAATCTCTCTCATATTACCCATTATAAAATAATAGATGTTGCCTTCAGAAATAAAGTGACTCGACATTTAATCTTTTGAATACCAAGCATCCAAGGAATCAAAGATGAGATGGGGCTACAGAAATGTCGACATCTCTTGAAATTACATGGAGGCATCTCTCTGTGCCCTAATAGCACCAAAACAAACACTCAGTTGTTTCTGTTTGTTTACAAGCTGAAGCTCCGCCTTTATCAGGTTATCCACTGCTTTTGCTTTTCATTTCATAACAAAAAAGCCACATGGGGTCCGGTTTTACTCGTCCACTGCACGCAGCTGCAACCGAAAAAGGCTAAAAGCACACGGATTAGTTTACTGAAGCACAGTAATTTTTAGGCAATGGATTTTACTGTGATATGATTGTCTTATGCATAACCCACCATGATCTCCACCTTATCATAATCATTACTCTTAATTATTTTTCTTAATCTCTCGTCAATTTCACGTGATTAATATGATAAGGTTTGCAGACATACGAAAAAATATGTACATGAAGCTCAATGGGAAAATTGCTTCATCATTTTTTTTGTCAAACGATACAAAGTGGAGTCATTGTGGAACTATTTTGCTATTTTTAAGTTTTGCAAATTTATTAACTTAAAAAGTTGATAAGTTTTACACAAAAAATCATTCAACATATTTCGAATTGAAGGCATTTCAACACAAAAAACACTCTTGTCCACTCAAAATGGTACTCTAATTTGTAGTATTTAAATTTTATAGATACAAATTGAAAAAAAATAACAAAGAAAATACAGTATTAAAAAAGATGAAGGGTGTTTATACCATACTTGACCAATCCCGAAACTACTGAGCACCGGTCAACGTTATACTGTCAAGGACCCAGAAGAGATTCCCTCAAACTAGGAGGCCAATCACAGTGCGACACGTGTCGACATCAGAAACCTTCAACACAAAAGCTTCACCTACAAAAACTTCACCTACAAAAGCTTCACACTATCTTGATCAAGATAGTGTGAAGCAAAATCAATTCATGGTGCCCAACAAAGCTTCAACCTCAAAGCTTCACCTACAAAGCTTTAACACCAAAGCTTCACCTACAAAGCTTTAAAAATATATATATATATATATATATATATATATTTTTTTTTTTTGGAAATTCAAAAATTCAAAGAAAAAAAATAAAAAAATAAAAAATTTCGAAAAAAAAAAAAAAAATTGCCTAGGCCTTCTCTTCTTTGGGCCTAGCAACTTTCATAACAAATATATATGAAGAAGGATTTTGGGCTACCACTTAGAAAGGAAATGCCTCATTCGTCAACTCCTTCGACCGGAGACTTGGAGGACTTCTACCATATGCTACTGCACCTTCATACTCAGAAGTCTCACGACCACTCAGTGATTCAAGTCTCCAAACGAGAAGTTTCCTCACTCGGGAAATTAAGGGAGCACTACCTCAACCTACATGTTTCATTCACAAAACTTCAACAAAAGGAAAAATTCAAAGAACTTAGTGAATAAGGCCTTGGTGTATTTAACACAATACGTTGAAATGAAGCAAAGCTTGTTTATTGATATCTCTGATAAGTTACAAATATGTACATATACATGAATCAAAATAAACAAACAAGAGGGAACCTTCACAAAGGTTGCTCAGGAGAAGTCTCAGCAGTCGGCAGTGTACCAGATCGAGGAGACACCTGAGGGTGATTATTCGGAGCCTCAGTACTAAGCAGAACCCTAGAAGGAGGAGGCACCGAAGGTTGATAATTTGGAGCTTCATTACGCGGTGTAGCCCTAGAAGACGAAGGCAATAAATGCCTTTGGAACAAACCCACAAACCTTTGATAATCAAGTAAAATCTGACCATCAGATTCCTGCAGCTGGTCGAGCTTCATCTTCATGTTTGTAGCATAGTCATGTGTGAGCCTGTGCAACTGTTTATTCTCATGCTT